CATCGGTCATCATCAGGGTATGAACAAGAAGAAAAAACTAACTGCTGGATCAGTGTGTGCTTGATCCGATTCGTTGGACGCTAGAATCAACCATTTGATTATACTCAATCCGCGATAATCTCAATAGACTGAACGTAACAGCTACAGTTCCATATTTGCTGGCAGTGATGGAAGCGACTCTTTGATTAACAGCTTCACCTTGTCCCAGTGTCGACCGACCACTGACCACTGTTGTTAAAGTCACGACTATCCCCCAGGGCATGAGCAATGAAACCAGAATGATCAGCATTACAGTATCTGATGATTCGTCGGTGTTCCCTTAATCCAGTTTTCAACGCTCGACAGGTCCTGCCAATAAAAATTCGGTCAAAGCCATTGCAAGCAACTTGATGAACAGTCTTCACTCGCCAAGCATAAGTGAAGAGCAAGCTTCCAAAACAACAGAAAGAGAGTAGATATTTGAAAGTTTCCCAGAGGATGACTTTAGTGCAAACGGAGAGTCCGTGTCATGACCACAGAACGAATCGGAACGAAGTTAATGAAAACAAATGATGACATTGGCGCTAGTGAATCCAAGACCAGAGTGCGGCATGTCAAAAGCAAGGATCTTTATCGAATTTTTACGTTTACGCTAACTTTATCGAATTTTTACTTGCCATTAAGCTTCTGTGTATATACATTTCACTGACCTGTACAATCCTGAGTAACAGCCGTGCTTCTGCTGACAGCAACAGAAGTTAGACAAACTGTTGAACTTGACTTGAAAATATTGCCGTTTACAGTAAGTTTGATAGTCAAGACCGATTGTTATCGAGATCTCAAATAACTTTACTGCACGACAAATTTCGAGCCGTCCATATCCGCATGTATTGCTGACATTGCCACCGAAGATCGGATTTCAGATCTGTAGTGATATATTCTAGCATATGTGTTAACCTCTAAGTGCTTGTACCAACTCAGTAGCTGATATAATCCCTCAAAAATTCATGCCGCTATCTTGCTGAGGATGGCATAAGCAGACCATCTTCTGATTACGTGGCCAGAAGGCTTAAACTCGTTTAATTTAACACTTATTTTTGGCAGAGAATTCTTTGATGCAGGCCGCCACCAGTTTCGTACACGTTGAATCAGTTTTAAACAATGAACTCATTGCTTGTCCTCTGTGCTGTTAACCATACGATATTGTTACCCATTCAAAAGTTTCCCAAATCCCTGGGGCATTACTGAACGAAATCGATAGTAAACAACAACATGAATTAAAAAAGATTCACTATTAGAACGTAGCAAAAATTGCAATAAAATTTTATGATTCCATAACTAACAACATGCACATACATAGAGAACATGAAGTTGCATTTGTCGAACTTAAGTGACATTTTCATTACATGCTACAAAAAATTTGTATAACTTCATAAGCAATAGGTGACTCTCCAGACACAATCGAAGGGTCGCGATCGATAACACTGTAAATATGAGTATGTGACAAAAAGTCATTTTAGAGATATAAGCCAAGATGACTGAGCAAAAGGCATGCCTTGGTCATCATCACCCATTGGTGCCTTTCTCGATGCCAACGTTAATCGTTCAGAAGTGCTGGCAGGATTTGCAGCGGCAGCTTTGTTCGAATAATCGAAAGAGAGGGCGTTCTCGCCGTTGCTTACAGTGTTCGCAACTTTGGCAAGAGTAACGTTCTGGCTGCTAGGCGTCGATACGAGGTGACGCTTTTGCGCAGTCACCAAAGATTTGGCAAAAGTTGCTTCGCCAATAGTCAGCTGGGACACACTCAAGTCCCGTGGCAAGAGCGGAGTAGCGTTATTTTTCCTAAAGGGTCTCTCAAGGACCTTTGCTTGCAAACCGAATCCCTGATGTTCAGCAAATTTTCTGGGTCCTTCCCGGCTATTCAAAAGAACTATAAAAAAGCGGTTCCTGTAACGAAATTTTGCTTTTGTCTACCAAACACTTACTGGTTGAAGACCTTCGAGCAAAATTTGTAGCGAGAGCGTTTTCTTTATCGTCATTGAACTCGTCGAATACTTTAAATGTAGCGGGTGTCCTTGATTCTGAGGCTGCAGCACCTAGGAATATTTTTATCAGATTGTATATATATATATGTACAATTATAGCTGGCAAATATAATTCCTGTGCAATGGCTCGAAATGGAAGCTGGTCTACAGCGCTGTTCGAACCGCTTAAGGTCAATCCGGGAGGGGAAAGATGGAACAGGCGATACTGATCATGCAAACGTTTCCTCCCAGCTGAGGAATGCACATGTCTTCCTATACAGAACTGGCAGATGACCGATGCACCACGCAGACGGTAAGCCAAATCATAAAAAATCTTCTTGAAGAAGAGCTGCCCATCAGCCACCTGTTATATGTACAACAGCCAACTTGACTTGAATAAGCAATAATGTTACTGTTTGCCTTTAATTGGACAAGATATAGATTGTGACTGAGCACAAAAATTAGAAATCCTTCAAAGAAGTTATGGCTAAAGCAAGGTCAATATCTGTGTCATATAGAATTACTACACTGAAGGAATTTATATTTGTTGTACAAAAGTTTTAAGCATATTGATGTCATGCACTGCGAAGAAGTCGCTACACGGAAAGATTCGTTAAATAAATTTCAATGCATTAAAGTTTCTCAGCAAACGATCATTACCTTTCTTACTGACAGCCTCAGTAACGATTTCTGCAGCCGAAGAGGCCTCGCTCACGGCCTCCATTCGAGAAGTGCTACATGACGCAGCGCCAGTGTCGTCGCCAGCCCACGCACTGAACTGCAGCGTACCTTCATAGGCAGCCAACGCCTTTTTAACGTTGACGCTGGTAAACGAGGAGGCAGTAATGGACGACTGTAGAGGAGCAGCCATGTCCTCCACGTTTCCACATAGAAACGGCTTTGCCGTCTGTTGAATATTGACAGAGCTAACGGCAGACGCACCTTGATAATTATGGCTTTCAGAAATTTTCGGCAACCGACAAAACCGTGCACAATGTCCTAAACAGTACTGAACATCAAATCATCTGAACTAAACAGAACTGCAACATCACAGCAGTTGAAACATAAAATACATTAGCACTGTACTGTACGTATATAACTCCGCCGTTGCCAGTCCTATACCTAGATGAAAAAGGAGGGTTAGGGACAGTAGAATTTATTTCGAAAAACTTAGCCTCTCATGGCATTGACGATATCGAACGCTCCATCAGCTCGGTCGTCGCCCGAATTACTAATACGCCAAGGAAAGCCAAGAATGACCAGGGACAAATAGCTCCACGGCGATTCCTCGTGATTCAGATTATCCCCTACGAAGCTCAAATAACGGCACAGGATCAGGTACACTAGACGTATTGTCTGACGCCGCTGCGTCCGCGACCCGAAAGCACAAGCGATCATCAAAACTGAGTGACCTACTGCACTTATATATTTCATACATTAACTTGAATCGCTAAAATGAAAGTATACTTTATACCAATCGTACAGCAGTAAAATTTAATCTGCACGCAGACAGGTTATGAGAATGATATCAGAATATGAACCTGTCACTGAACAAGATTGAAAGCTTGATTTCGCGTTCAGTGAAAATCAATACTTAATAAATACTGCTTCAGGTCCTGAACAAACAACATATATTTATTCATATTTAGGGAAAATCTAGTGAGGAATAACCAGCATTTAATGAAATAAATTCTCCTCCGCGAGTTATTTTCCGTATCACTGCATACACTCGTCTCAACGCCGGCGGCGACACTACTACCTCAAACCGTTACCTCACGTGAAGCCAGTTTGTTAGAGGTGAGTATGATCGGTAGGCTTTGCAAATTTTGTCAGTCATGTTCGTCTTATTTATAATTCAGAGGCCTATCGACGGCATACTAAGCTGTATATTACCTCAGCAGGAACGTGGAACTATAATCTTTCTCTATATTAAAGAAAGCCAGTCAGGTATATGCTGAAATGTCAGCAATGATTTTATCATCGAGGATTTAGCCATAACTCACCACGCAGTCCAGGCGGGTTGGTGAGCACTGACTATTTCTTCCATTTGGCACGACGTGTTTTTCATGATCTGACAGCACAGCTGAGCTTGTCAGAGCCTAGAACTCAATCGTACCTCGTACTGAGAACCGGTTGTCACCCTTCTACCACGTTGAGGTAGTGGAAACATGACTTAGGAAATCGAAATTGATCTCTCATCTGATAAATCATATGCTGTGCATAAATAAGCCGCATATTCAGTAAAAACTTAATACAACAGTCAGTAAAAATTAC